GGGTGCCAAAGGGCATCACTACAACACCCATCATCCACACACTAACAATAGGCTCTCAATCTCACTGCTTTCCATTACTGCCTTTGTGCAATAGGTCCCTTCTGCTGCAGTTCTGTTTCTCAGGCAGTCCCACTGTGTGAGTGTGATTTTGCTCCTCTCCCCTTCTCCCCTGCAGAAATTGTGGCTGACAACACCTTTCTGAAGCTAGTTATTTTGGGCACATTCATACAGCAGCCGGCTTGTGGGGACAGTTGCTTGCGTTGTGCGAATGTGCACACAGCCACCCATTACTTTGGGGAGTGGAGCATGATTGTGACAGCCAATATCTTCCCAAAACTGGCTGCTGCGTGCACATTGAGACAGTAGCCTGATTTAGAAGGTGGTTGGCAGCTGTAGTTGCTTGTTCATGGCTTTGGAAGTGTGGAAAATCATGTGACCATGGATCACCAAAACACTATTATAGGAAAAGGTGTGATAAGAAATGATGCCAAACCAGTATGTACCCATTCTTAAAACAGCACAACTGTGGTGGGACAGCAGGCTGGTGTGATAAAGTCTCAAGATCTAATAGACTAGTTGTTGAACTCACAATGACAATGTGGCAACAGGCTGTGCTTCATTTAATAATAATAATAATAATAATAATAATAATAATAATAATAATAATAATAATAATCCCACCCCTCTGCGTAGCACAACCAGGACGGCTTACAACTTTAAAATATACATCTATATCCCACAATCCCACCCACCCCTTAAAATGCAATTAAATAGTAGTGATTTAAAATGCATTTAAAATGCATTTAAAACACAGACATGAAAGACAAATAACAATAGCTACAGCCGAATCAGGGATGAGCAGGATGGCTGTTTTTGATGGCCGGAATATCTATTCAGGAAAGGCCTGCTGGAAGAGATCCGTCTTAACAGCCTTTTTAAAGCTGTTTAAGGTGGTAATATGACATATCTCATCTGGCAGGCCATTCCATAATCTGGGAGAAGTAGCCGAAAAGGTCCTCTACGCGGTTGCAGACAACCTAGTTTTTAATCGGCTGCAACAAATTCCTCCCAGAGGACCTAAGTGTGCAGGGTGGATTATACGGGAGGAGGCGGTCCTGAAGATAGGTTGGACCCAAGTCATTTAGGGATTTAAAGGTAATAACCAACATCTTGTACTGGGTCCGGAAACTAATGGGCAGCCAGTGAAGTGATTTTAGAATCAGTGTTATATGGTCTCTTCTCGTTGTTCCTGAGACCAACCCGGCTGCCATATTCTGTACTAATTGAAGTTTCTGGACCATGTGCAAAGGTAGCCACATGTAGAGCATGTTACAGAAATCAAAACGGGAGGTTACCAGAGCATGCATCACAGTTTCAAGGTCCCTAACTTTCAGGAAAGGGCGCAGCTGGTGTATCAGCCAAAGCTGATAACAGGCACTCCTGACTGGCGCATTCACCTAATTTATTATCTGAAGCGATGAGTCCGAAAGCACCCCCAAACTGCAAACACAGTCCTTAGAGGAGCGTGTGACCCCATCCAGGACTGGAGGTTGCAACCCAACCTGGGTTCAGGGACGCTACTTTAAGTACATCAGTTTTGTCTGGATTCAGTTTCAATCTGTTTTCCCTCATCCGGACCATTACTGCCTTAAGATAGTCATTGAGAGGAGAGATGCCATCTGAAGTCAAAGCTGAAGACCAAGACATGGAGAAATATATTTGAGTGTCATCAGTGTACTGATAATACCCCACCCCATGTCTCCAGATGATCTCTCCCAGCAGCTTCATATAGATATTAAATAGCACCGGGGACAGGATGGTCCCTTGTGGGATGCCACAATTAAGCTCTTTCCTTGCAGAGCAACTGCCCCTAAGCATCACCCTCTGGAATCTGCCCGAGGGGAAGGAAAGGAACCATTGTAATGCAATTCCTCCAATTCCTAACCACCTCAGGCGATCCAAAAGAATGTCATGATCTATTGTATCAAAAGCCGCTGAGAGGTCCAGTAGCACCAATAGGGTCACATTACCCCTGTCGATGCCCAGACGAAGGTCATCAGCTAAGGCGACTAAGGCAGTCTCAACTCCATATCCTGTCCTAAAGCCAATTCAGGTGAATGCTATCTTGTGGCTGGCCACATGACATATAGTCTTGCCTTCCATCACCCCACTTTGGCTCCAGGGCCCTTTGCTCCTCTGGCCTGGAACAGCCATCTCATTTTGGCTTATGTTAGAGTTGGACCTGCTTTCAGTAACTGGATACCATGGACAGCCAAGAAGTCAAACAAATGGGTCCTAGAACAGATCAAACCAGATGTCTCTGGATGCCAAGATGACTAGACTAAGGCTGTTGTACTTTGGCCACATCATAGGAAGGCATTGGAGAAAACAATAATGCTAGGAAAGGTGGAGGGAGGCAGAAAGAGAGGAAGGCCACATGCTAGATCAGGGGTCGTCAAGATTTACTTACCTGGGGCTGGTCGCTGGTCCCCAGGTCTTCCGCTGGGCGGGGGGGGAATGGCGGTGCGCACGTTCATGCACGTGGCCCCTGCTGTCAACCCCCGCAGCGGCCGCGCACACCACAGCCACCATTTTGTTTGCCAAAATGGTGGCCGTGATTCATTTACGCATGCGTAGTACTCCTGCACATGCGTGAATGAGCTGCAGCTGCCATTTTGGAAAACAAAATGGCGGCCGTGACTCGTTGCCATTTTGTTTTCCAAAATGGCGTCCGCGGCTCGTTCACGCATGTGCAGGAGTACTGCGCATGCACAAATGAGTTGCGGCTACCATTTTGGAAAACAAAATGGCAGCCGTGACATGTGCGGCAGTGGTTGGCGGTCGTCGTCATCGTTGGTGGGGGTCGGTGGGGGCTGGTCGGCAGGGGGTGGCGGGTTGGGGGCGGCCCGTGGGCCGTAGGTTGCCGAACCCTGTGCTAGATGGATGGACTCTATAAAAGAGGTCACAGGTATGAATTTGCAAGAATTGAGCAGAGCAGTGGAGGACAGGGAATCTTGGAGACGTCTCATCCACAGAGTTGCCATGGGCCGAGATCGACCCTCCAAGCAGTTCTTGTGTAGAACATTTCATATATAAGAATGAGAGGGAATAGAATTTTGTCCCATTTTTCTTTAAGTCTGTATCTTGATCTTTTCTCTATTACTTAAATGAAGCTTTCATAATAGTGTGGATTTTAATTTTTGCCTTCGGGGCAAAATGCACATTAAGTTAAAATTCAGCCAACCCATACTATGAACGGAAAGATAAGGCTGAGCAATTTCGCCTGCAAAAGGATGAGAAACTGATTTTTTAAATTATTTTTTTTAAGGGTAAGATAATGAAGCAGTATCTTATGATTCCACATGCACGGGTGAGTCTTGCCTGAAAGAGTATATCTCCCTGTTCCAAGGCAGCCACACAAAGAATGTGTGTAGTGTACAGGGGGGGGGGAATCACAGATTTTAAAGGGAATATAAATTAGAAAGAAAAATGTAGTATTATACAGGTGAAAGCTTGACAAATAATGCAGAATAATGCCCCCCCCCCCAAAAAAAAGTTGTCAGAGCTAACTAAACTGGAAGTAAATTAAACTTTCCTTTAGGTGAAACCAGGTACAACGTACTGGAATTATCACACTTGGAATATTAGGCCCTTATAAGCTACAGAGTTATAGAGTTATGCTTCCACTTTAGCCGCCATGGTTCCAGCCTATGAGAACTTGGGATTTGTAATGTAGAGAGGGGTATTTAGAATTCTCAGCCAGTCAGCTGCTACACTGCAAAATTAATGCAGCTTGATACTGCTTTAACTGCCATGGCTCCATCCTATGGGATCCTGGGATTTGTAGTTTGTTGTGACACCAAAGCTCTCTGACCAAGAGGGCTAAATATCTCGCAAACCTACAAACCCCAGAATTCCACCACACTGATGCACGGCACTTAAGGCAGTGTCAAACTGCATTAATTCTGCAGTGTAGATGCAGCCCTAGAGAGCTTTAGCAGTTCACCAAATACAAACACCAGAATTGTGCAGGATGCATCAATAACACTTAATGTGGAATCATAGCACTATAATTATTTACTGTGAAAGGGACCAGTTACCACATTTCAGAAAAGATATTGGAGAGCTGGAAAGGGGGCAGAAAAAGAGGATGCAAAATGGCCCAGGGGCCAGAACAACTTTCATATGGGGGAAGGGGGCAAGACCCAGCATGGTGTAGCGGTATGAGTGTTGGGCTATGACTCTGAAGATCAGGGTTCAAATCCCTGCTCAGTCATGTAAACCCATTGGGTGGCCTTGGGCAAGTCACACTCTCTCAGCCTCAGGAGAAGTCAATGGCAAACCCCCTCTGAACAAATCTTGCCAAGGAAACCTTAGGGTTGCCATAAAACAGAAATGATTGGAAGGTACATAACAACAAACAGCTAACCATGAGCTGCAGTATATAGAAATTTCTGAGCTACATCACCAAATCTCTGCTTCTTGCCATTTTTTAAAAAAGCTATTTCCACTGAACACCCAATTTGCCTTGGAGTTTCATAGCTTGTGGGTCTTTATTTTTTTTAACTTGGGCAAATCACACTCTCTCAGCCTCAGAGGATGGCAATGGCAAACCCTTTCCAAAGAAACTTGCCAAGAAAAACCCTATAATAGGTTTGTGTTAGAGTTGTCATAAGTCAGCGGAGGCTGCGGTGTCTGGCCTGCTCCTGCCTGGATCCTCTGCTGCATACAGGTGGACAGTGGAGCAGGGCAGAGCCATAGCCGTCCAGCTGAAGCCCTGAGAAAGCTTGCAGGCAGCACCCCAGTGCCAAGGAAGGAGGAGTGGGAAGTGTGCCAGCTTGCCTGCCTGCCTCAAGTGGCTCCAGTCCTCTCTTCTCTCCTCTGCACTTCCCAGCAGCACCGTTTTTGCTGGATGTGAGGCAGTGGATGTGAAGAAAAGGTGTCCCTGCTGCTCCTACTTTCCCTACTTCCACTCATGGCCAGGGGGAGTCCAGCCTCCCTTTCTCCCTCCAGCTGCACCTTGGCCCTGCTGAAGTTCTGCCTCCCTTCCTTCCTGCCTGCGATTCAGATCCGTCGTTCACACTTGTTGAACACGCTTCTGAATTGCTTCTTTTAAAAAGAACTGCCAAAAACCCTAGTTTTTTAAAAGAGCATTTTTTTTTTTGCATTTGTCTCACTTCAACGTGATTCTGAATGATTGGAGTCGCATCTGAAACCGCTGCCAATGGGGACAAGGCACAAATAAAGCGATCAGCAATTTGCATCTAATCATAGTGGGAATGAGCCCTTAGTCTGTTATTCAAGGACCCTTTCACAGTACATAACTACAGCACTATGATTCCACTTTAACTGACATAGCAACATCCTACAAAACCCTAGGATTTGCAGTTTAGGGGGGTATTTAGAATGATCAGTCAGAGAGCTCCGATGCCTCACCAAACTACAAACCCCAGAATACCATAGGATCCAGCTGTGGCACTTAAAATGGAACCATAGCACTAAAACTTTATGGTGTGGAAAGGTCCCAAGTGCTACATCCCAACATTGATGGGCAACATCAAGTTCCCCATTTTCTCTTTTCATAGTTCTTCATCACTCACCCATAGGGAAACTACATAGTCCTTCAAATAGAGGATACAGCCTTATAGGGCAGTACTACTCAACTGTGTGGTCTGTGGACTGGTGCTGGTGCATGAGCCCATGGTGAGCTTCCAGGATAGGAAGAAACAGGTATTGCAAATAGGCACAAATATAGTGCCAGTCCCTGGCATATCAAGGAAAGAAATATTTGCTGGCCCCAGATCAGATAGCCTAAGAACTACTGATGTAGAGGACTATACACTGTAATGTTAGCCATTTGGTTACCCTGTGTTCACCTTTCTCTTCTAGTTCTTTCAGTTTCTTTCACACTTGAATGCTCAGGAAATTATAGATCAGAGACAGTGACCTCAATAGCAGGTAAGGAAACAAGAAACATCAATAAGAAATACATTTACCAAACACTGGAGAAATATGAGTTGATAAAAAACAGCCAACAAAAGCTTCATCACGACTAAATTGTACCTGATAAACTGAGCACATATCCTTCCTTTACAGAGAAAAAGAACAACAAGACATCAAATAGTTGATACAAACAGGAAACAATAGGTTCAGATTGCAGAAGAATTTAGAGATAACATGGTGTGATGATGATGATGATGATGATGATGGTAAAGGTAAAGGATACTCAAGTGGTGGTGTAGGGCAATATATTTCACTCTGCTATAGAGTCTTTACAAGCATGTTTTTAATGGATTTTTTTAATACCACTGAATATTTCAATATTTCCACTTTAGAGGTAGAAAAATCAACAATACAAACATGAAGTTCTTTAAACTATGCTGAGGGCAGTGATGGAACACTATCCTTTTATACAGCTTTATCTAACCTACTTCCTTTTAAATATGTTGAACTCCCACTACCACCAATGGGCACATTAGCAGGGGCTTTTAGGAACTGTAGTCCAACAAATCTAGAGAACATTTGAAAAACATACACTTAAAAGAACCCCCAAATTTATTATTAATTTAATTTATATCCTAACTTTCTCTCAGCAGGGAACCACTAGGCCTAACAGCAAAGGTAAAACAAGATAGAACTAAAAACCTGAAGGTATAAAAGTTAAAAAACAACTACCCAAAAGCAAATTAGCTATCATATAAAATACACATAATTTAAAGCAGTATAATATCATGTCAAAGGCATAATAGCTAGTATGTGGTCAGCTATCTTTAACCTAATTTCCTGTGTTCAAAGATGGCCTATAAATTGAAGTCTAATTTAATCAAATCTAAATGAAGTCTAACTTCATCCAGATCTGTGTATCTGTACAGCTTTAAATTGCCTTAACTGTCTTGACTGACATTTTAATCCATCTTGATTCACGTGGTTAAATTGTTTAGCACATTATTTAATCATCTTCATCGCTATCTATTTATATTCTAGTTATTATTTCTCAGTTCATATCTATACAGTGATATCACATAGGCAAATTTTGTGTACATGTTCAATGCTACCACCATTTCACCGTAGGCTTTCCAAAGGGCTGTAGTCCATGTTTGGTCAGACTTGCTCTGAGTTTTCCACCATCCATCAATGCTCTAGTCCCACTTGTTTTAGTGACAGCAGCTCCCTAGTAAACCAGGGGGCTCATTTGGTTCCACTCCATGGGAGGGGATGCTTGGGAGTGATCATGTTTACTGCCTTGGGTCCTTCCCCATTGCAGAGATCTGCCAGGACTTTGACACAGTTACATGCCAAAACAACAGGAAACTCCCCAAGAGCCATCAGGAATCCATCTGGGTCCATAAGCCTCCTAGGTCTCATTCACACATCGTTTTTTTTTTACTGGAACATTGCAAATAACCTCACTCACATTTTGGGTTTGTTATTCACACCATGGAACCACATTTTTCCAGGAGCCGCATTGCTCTGCACCTCTGTGAGTTCAGTTGCTCACACATGTGGGCACCCTTACTTTGTCTCCGCACCCACTGGCACCCCTCAGCCGGTCAGAGGGGGGCTGGCATCTCTTTTTCTCTCACCCCCTTTCCCATCTCTTTCCTCTTTTCTCCCCAGTGGCAGCTGTTCTGTTGGGGAAGGGGCAGCGCTTTCTCGACTGATTGGGCTGTCAATGATGCAAATGCATTCAAAACCCGTTAAAGGCATGGAGAGTTTTATCCCAAATCTGTTTGGGTCTATTCACATCGTTGCTCACACAGCTGACAATGTGATTTTTTTTTGGTAAAAATTCAGGAAGAAGCCTGATATCAATTATCCCAGGGTAAGTGCATTTTTGGCAGCCCCCCCCCAACTTAATTGAGTGCATTCGGGATGCATGTGAACAACAAAGATTAATCCCAATTCCAAATTCATCCTGGATTATTTTCATTGTGTGAATAGCCCCCTAGAGTCAAACAACTTAATGCCCTCAACCCACCTCTGCAGAGTTTACCAGCCACTGACTCAATACCTGGGGCCTGATCCTCCAGGCAGAGGAAGTCTATCAGGCAGGCAGAGTCTATAGGTGAGTGAGGCAGCCACTGGCAAGAGCTGGCAGAAAAGCCTCTCTCTTCTCTAAGGGCCTTTGCAGACTGCTAGAAATAGTGCAAATTGAGTCCACTTTAAGGGTTAGGGTTAGGGAATCATGGGAACTGTATTTTATTGTGGCACCAGAGCTCTCTGACAGAGAAGGCTCAATGTCTCAGAGGGGAAAAAACCAATTCCCATGATTCCCTAGCACTAACCCTAACCCTTAAAGTGGACTCAATTTGCACTATTTCTGGCAGTCTGCAAAGGCCCTAAGAAATAGTTAAATCCATGACTACACAGAGATCTGAACTCTGGCCTCCCTGTTCCAAGTCCAGCATTTTAAACATTAATCCATATTCGTTTTCCCGGATCAGCTGTTAACTGTAAAAAAAAAATTATATGGAGGTTGAAGGAAGAAAGAAATGCAACAATTAAAGTGCATAATTTGCCCAATTAGAATGAAAATTAGAGTAATTTGCATAATTACTCTAATTATGCAGATGCATATGATTGGGGAAAGTGGAATATGACTACCTTAACCCAAAGCATCCTTTGTAATAGGTCTAGTAGAAATGAAAACAAACCAACCCCTTTCCCCTCACTTTCCCTTTTCCATGTCTAGAAGCCAAGCTAGATGTTAAGAAATGTAACAGAAGTTTGCGTTTTTAGGATCCTCAAGATGCCACTAGGGCCAATATGAGTGTTTTAGATCCTTTCTTCAGACCCAAACTAAGTGCTGTCACCAACATCCCCCCTCAAAAAAGCCCACTCAGTCTGAGATTGTTGTTGTGTGCGCCTTCAAGTTGTTTCTGTATGGCCCTGAGTTTGCAAAATTTGAGCAAGGTAGTTGAGGGTAGTTCTTGGAGGTCTTTCATTCATAGGGTTGTCATAAGTCAAAGTCTACTTGACAGCAAATAATAACAGCAAACTATTTGTCCCTCAGCTATGAGGGTGGTGGAGTTTTTGTGAGATACATGCCTCAGCAATGAGACTTGCAAAATTAGTATATTTATTTCTAATAAATAATTACAAAACAAAGTATGTTAGATATGGTGGTGAGGAAAATCCCATGCTACGATAAAAAGGCAATTATCTTTCATCACTGGAGGGAGCATTGCTATACACAAACGCACACACAGCCATGTGTACTCTGTAGTTTGACTTTGGTACTCAAATGGGGGCAAATTCCTCAGGGATCACCAACTA